GTCTGTACATTTTTGACGTATTTCTGCTCATTTTTTGTTTGTTGTACCTTTGGTCTTATTTTTACGACATATTTGACACTAACAAGTGCACCTTTTCTTATTTAAGCCAAAAACGAAAAAAAAGTATTTAAAAAAACCAAAAAAAAAGCATAAAACAAAATAAACAAAAAAACCGAACGAATTGCCATCTCGTTTCGTATTTCGTGTTCTGTTGTTGTTTTTTTTTTCTGTGCTTTATATTTGATTTGATTTTTTATCATTTTGGTAGTAGTTCACTTGGCTGAGGCAGTTGCTTTGCGTTTGGCCTAAAGTGCGGTTGTCATTACGTGTTTGCGCTATTTGCGGTTCTACCAAAATCGAAAAAATATTTATAAAATAATTTTAGTGTTTTTTTATAGCTGACTTAGTCGTTCCGTCGTCAATTCAGTCAGCTGTTTTGTGTTTTTTGTTATTCTATTGTATTTTTCATTGATTTCGCCTCTTGCGCTACTAACATAAAGGAAGGAAACGTTAAAGCGGCCATTTTAAAGTTTAATAGTTTTTAAAATAGCCTTAAAAAATGAATTTGTGAATTGATTTCCTTTGTTGTTTACGTGAAAAACTAAGGCAAGTGTAGTGAAATAAAAAAAAATTTTTTAAGTAAAATATATTAATATTGTATGAATATTTTTAATTGTGGTATCGTTTATTTCTTTTTTTTTAAATAAACAAATTTTTCACTTAAAAACACAAGAACAAAAAAAACGCTGGCATGGCAGTTTCGAATTATGCAATTATACGGAATAAGGTTTTCAATGTCATTATGTTTATTTAAGTAAAAATAAATGTCAGAAATAATGTTTCAATTTACTTGAAAATTTATTTTAGTATTACTAGATTTTCAAGAAAAATATATATAAAGTTGATGAGATATTTATTTTTTGTCAATGTTTCCTATTAAAAACATTTATAAATTAATTAACACCTTCAGCATTTCGTACAGAAATTTAATTAAAATTTTTTAACGCTTCGTAAATATATTTATATTTTTATGGTGTATTTCTAGAATTAACTTCAACAATAATCTTTTTTCCAATTCAAATCAATAAATAAATATCAAACCAATTTTTTCAGTGATTGCATTTAAGCTAAGATTCATTATTTGAACTTTATCTATTCCTTCAACATTAAATTACTTTTTAAAACAATAATTATTTTTTAAGTAATTAATGTTCTCAAATTATTTATCCTGTTTATTTAATCTAGTTAATTACTTTAGAAAGATACTAAAGATGTAGACAAGCTACGTCCCACTTATTTAAGATATTATCGTGCATATTATTTCTTAATAAATATTAGTTATTTAATAGTTTAGTATAAACTGTTAAAGTTTAGTGAATGAGCTTAACCCTAACCCTAATTAAATTAATTGTGGGGAAATTAAAAATTTAATTAATTTTAGGGAAAATACAAAACTATTAAAAATTATTTATAAAAAATAATTTATATGCATTCATTTATTAAATGTTAATAATTTATTAAACAAATGTATTAATAAATCATTTTTAAAATTTTCTATTGATATTCTTATAAAATAAATTAAAAATGTTGACTTCAGAATTTCTAAAGTAACTAATCAATTTAGTGAGCTGAATTTATTTTAATCAAATAATTTTTTTAGACTTATTAAAGAAATTAATAAATAACTATAAAGAATAAATTTAGACAAAAATAAAAAATGGCTTACTTACATAATATTATAGAAGTTGTCTAATAATCAACTATAAGTTTTATTAAAATGTGATTTTAAAAAGATTTACTTTCATAATAAAAAAATTTTTTTAAAAGTAATGCATATTTCTACATATAATATTTATACTTTCAACTTATTCTTCTCATTTTTGAAAAGGGCTAATTGATCCATTGTTCAAACAATATACAACTTTTTAAGTTATTTTTAAAA